TGTATAGGTAAGTATGTGTTTCAGTTTCTTTGAGTACTCTGAAATATTCTGAAGTAGTATTCAAAATGTTAGTCACCTTTCTTTCTTCCTGAACAATTGCATCCTGAATCCAGTAGATGGAGCAGTGCCAAGCAGACATTCATGCAGATTAGGGAGGAGAGCAGTTATCCAGGACAAGGGTGAAGGGTAGAGGAATCTGCAGTGGATGGCTGGCTAGCATGGATGGCAGAACACCAGCGGGGTTAGGAGGGCACCCCGCAGTGAGCAACTTGGATTTGGGAGGCAGTGCAGAGAGGAAAGGCAGGATCTTAGACTCATTGCCAAGCAGGGAAAGGAAAGTGCCCGTATGGAAGGGTGACCAAGAAAGTCATGTCCAAAACTGAGCAGCTTCAGCAGGATGTCTGAACAAAGGTATGAGATAATGGACAAGCCCAGATTCAGGGACATTCTACAAAATAATGTGATGCTTAACATTTGAAAATCAGCATAATGTCATAAATCAACAGAATGAAGAACAAAACCCTAAAATCATCTCAATAGATGAAGAACAAGCATTTGATAAGATTCGACATCTCTTCATGATGAAAATCCTCCACAAATTGTAAAGGGCTCAAAATTATAAAGGCTATTCATGACAAACCAATAGCAAATAGCACACTGAATGGGGAAAAGGTGAGTACAGTTCCCCTCAGATGTGGAACAAGACAAGGAAGTATACTTTCACCACACTTATTCAGGATAGAATTGGAAGTATTAGCAAGAGCAGTTAGTGAGGAAACAGAAATAGAAGGCATTGAAATTGGAAACAAGGAAGTCAAAATATCGATGTTTGCAGATGACATGATCTTGTACATGGGAAAACCCTAAACATTCTATCAAAAGGGTTCAGAACTGATAAACTGGGGCTGTTGCTGTGGCATAGTAGTTTAAGCATCTGCCTGTGGCTAAGGTACCTCATATATGTTCCCTTTCAAGTCCTGACTGTTCCACTATCAATCTAGCTCCATACTGAAGATCTGAAAGGGCAGTAGAGAATGACCAAAGTGCTTGGGCCCCTGCACCCATGTGGGAGACTTGGAAAAAACTCATGGCAACTGGCTTTAGATTGGCCCAGCCTCAGTTATTGTTACCATTTAGGGAGTGAACCAATGGATGGAAGACCTCTCTCTGTCTCTCCCTCTCTGTCTGTAACTCCTTTTCTCAAGTAAATAAATAAATCTTAAAAAAAAAAAGAACTGACAAACCAATTTGGTAAAGTCACAGGGTACAAAAGCAACATATAAATGACATTAGTATTTTTATACACTAAGAATGATGTTGTAGAAAGAGAAATAAGAAAAAAAAATCCCATTTGAAATAGCTACAAAAATCAAGTATTGAGGAATAGACTTTAACCAAAGAAGTGAAAGATCTCTACAATAAAAATTGTAAAACATTGGTGAAATAAAACATCAAAAACACAAAAAATGAAAAAAAAACTCCTTGTTCATGTATTGGAAGAATTAATATCGCTAAAATATCTGAACAAACGAAAGTAATCTACAGACTCAATGCAGTGCTATCAAAATGCCAATTGCATTCTTTATAGAATCAGAGCAAAAAATACTAAAATTCATATGGAATCACAAAAGGCCCAGAATAGCCAAAGTGAACCTGAACAAGATAAATTGAGCTGGAAACATCACAGTACTTGATTCCAAAGCATACTGCAAAGCTGTTAAGACAATATTATACCACCATAAAAACCAGCACATAGATCAATAGGACAGCCTATAGAGCCTAGAAATTAATCCACGTCCATAGATCCAACAGATTTTTTTACAAAGGTGCCAAGAACATATATTGGAGAAAATATAGTATTTTCAATAAATGGTGATGGCAAAACTGGATGTATCTACATGAAAGAATAAATTAGATCCCTACAACAAGATGGACTAAAGACTAAATGTAAGACCTGAAGCTATGAAATTACTACAAGAAAAAACAGGACAACACTTCACAACACTGGTGTAGGTGATGGCTTCCTAAGACCCTAAAAACACTGGCAACAAGAGCAAAACTAAATAAGTGGGGCAAAATCAATCTCAAAAGCTTTTACACAGCAAAGTAAATGATCAATAGAATGAAGAGACATCTGACGGATGGGAGGAAATATTTACATGACACTTTCTGACAAAGAATTAATATCCAGAATATATCAGCAATTCAAAAAAAAAAATCCAGTTGAGCAATGGGCAAAGAACCTGAATAGACAACTTTCTGAAGAAATACAAATGACCAACAATTATATGGGAAAATGCTCAATAGCACTAGCCATCAGGAAAATACAAATCAAAACCACAGTAAGACATCACTTCATACCTGTCAGAATGACTATTTCTAAAAAAACAGTAACAAATGCTGGCTGTGATGAAAAAAAATGGGAAACACTTATATACTTTTGGTGAGAATATAAATTATTGCAGCCACTACACATTTTAAAAACTATTTATCCCTAGTGCAGCACAATATCTCCTTCCATATTCTGCCATCTTGGGATCTCTTGGCTCACTAAATAGAATAGGCGCTGTTGAAACCTGTTTTATTGTTACATAGGACATTACTGAGATATTTTGAAATACTTGAATGGAGTATGAGAGTAAGATAGTGTACCAGTGATAGTTTCCTGCTTCTGTTGGCTGTATGTTGGTCATGTTGGAGGATACGTTTACTTGGAAGATATGCACACTTTAGTAATGGGGTCTGATAGGGCCTCAGATCAACACATGTGTACCGGAATAGTATCAAGCTCAGGTAAGTTAATTGCAGAAGTAGTGGCTCAGCTGGTGTTTGAGCCTAGGCAGACAGTCTATAAATGGGTACACTGTAGGTATCCTATTTCTCAGTTTGAAATGTGTGCTAATTGTATAAGGTTTCTTCAGAAAGTTCATCAAAAGCATGTCCTATGAAAAACTGCATGAATTTCATTTTTTTTGCACCATAATACAGTTTTACTAATTTGTTATTGCATGCATGCACTGATCTAGTTTGAGTTATTAAGAAGTATACATGAGTTTGGAAAGAACCCTTATTCTTATAGTAAAAATATGAATTCTACTAAAATTGAAGGAAGAATAAATGTCAAGTTTACAAGGAATCTTGAGGGGAGAATGGTGAAATAACTGGTGCTTTACGAAACTTTTATGAGGACAGTATACCAAAGAAACCAGCAGTTTACAAATGGATAACTTGTTTTTAAAAAGGGACAAGTTAGGGGCCGACGCTGTGTCATAGCAGGTGAAGCCGCAGACTGCAGAAACCGCATTCTGTATGGGCACCAGTTCACGTCCCGGCTGCTCCACTTCCAATCCAGCTGTCTGCAATGGCCTGAGAAAGCAGTAGAAGATGGCCCACGTCCTTGGGTCCTTGAACCCATATGGGAGACCCAGAAGAAGCTCCTGGCCCCTGGCTTTGGATCAGTGCAGCTCTGGCCGTTGCTGCCAATTGGGGAGTGAACCAGCGGATAGAAGACCTCTCTGTCCCTCTGCCTCTCTTTCTCTCTCTTTGTAACTCTGACATTCAAATAAAATAAAATTTTTAATAAAAAGACAAGTTGATGTTGAAGATGAGGCCTACAGTGTCGGAACATCCACATTAGCTGATGAGGAAAAAATTAATCTCACACATGCCCTAAATGAAGAGGACCAGCCATTAACATAAGAGATAGCCAATGCTATGGACATCTCAAGTGGCTCAGTTTATGCAGTTCTGACTGAAAAAGTGGAGCAAACCTTTTATATGATGGATGCCAAATCTATTACACTAAGATCAAGTTCAATAAGAACAGAGATTTAAGTGGAAATTTGAAACAGGTATCTTAAATGTCCTGAACCATTTCTTCAAGTAACTAGAACAGGACAATCTTGAAAAGACAAAACACAACCAAACCAATGGCTACCAAGAGGGAAAGTGGTCCAGTCAAAGCAAAAGTAGACCAGTGATAAGCAAAGGTCCTGGAAATAGGACCTTTTTTTGTTTAGTTGTTTTTGTTTTCAAGTGAAGGCATTTTACTGGGAGATTCTCTGCAAAGCTAAAGAACAAATAACATCTGCTCATTGTGACAGTATTTTGAGAAAACCAAAGTTTTAGCAGAAAACTGTTCAGGAAATCTTCACCAGAAAGTCCTTCTCCACCATGACAGTATTTCTGTTCATTCTTCTTTGCAAACAACGGCAATATTGTGAGAATTTTAGTGGGCGATCATTATCCAGAGTTGGACTAACTGGATCATTCATCACTTATAAAAGTGTCTTGAGCTTAGTGTAGCTTATGTTTAGAAATAAAGTTTATATTTGCTGTTTTTATCTTTTAATTTCATTTTCTATGAACATTTAGGAATCACCTTACATCTTCAGTAGCTAGACAGAGCCTGGTAATGGAGAAGTTTTCAAATTTTAGTGAAGAAAAAAAAAAGAGTGCATGCTTTACTTCACATGTGCTGCTCCTTAATTCTCCAGGAATCACCATCATAAAGTCTGATCAAGTATCTGTCCAGTGGTCAGATTTACCAGACCATTTACCAGTGGTCTTCCTGGTACAACTTGAGATCTCGTGCACCTTTTCGGTCAGAAACCCAGAGTAAACCTGACATTGACAATGTCATTTCGGAGCTTCAAAGTGGAAAAAATGTCTTGCCCTTGCTCTTCCTCCAAGTGGAATGAGAATAAAGCTAACTATGTTATTACATGCATTTTCAGTAATAGCCATGACTTTCTTTGGTCCTGGCTGACCTACATTATGCTTCAAGATGAAGAAAGGAAGGGTAGAGGTAGAAATCAGACCACTAGAGGAGCCCGGCTATTAACATTCCTTTTCTGCAATCTTAGCAGCGTTCTCATTTGCAAGCTAAAGAAAAAGAGTCAGAATTCTTTCTGGATTCACAGAGGAGTTGCAATACTAGATTTTGTGAGAGAATAATCATCCCCATGGCAACAGAACTCTATCTGTGATGGTGATTTCACTATTGCATCAAAGAGACACATATGGTTTGTATTTATTTTTTTGGAAGGTGACAGATCCTGACTCAAATACTCCATACTGGCATCAAATGAAAAGAAAAAAAGAAAACTATAAAAGTTGGTGATGAGGTAACAGACCTTTTAAACTTAATGTTCTCTCTTGTTAGCCAGACCTAGTGAGGAAGTCCCTCTTTTTTAAGGTTTAATTTAAAGCTTTCCTTTTCTCACATTTCGATGTGGTAAATGGCTGTCTTCTATTTCTATCAGACTGACACAATCCGTCAGCCTTCAGATCCCAAACATGTTTGCAAACCATCTGTTACATTTACTAACAGAGTGAAACAGAATATCTGGCACTTGACAGTGTTTCAGATATTAACTTTGAAGCCTCAGAAATTTGCTTAAATCTGCAGGTATGCTACACGCATCTACCTATAGTCCAGAAGCTTGTGCAGAACCTCTACCCAAAGCCTTGTCATTACTTTCCTAAATGCCATGATTAGAATGCAAAAGGCAAACGGCAACCAACTCTTCACCTTTAACAAAGAATGCTGTATTGCTCTTTGGAAAAAGGAAACTGAATCTGTAAATATTTTATTATATTCCTTTTGAACATAAACATGCAATTATTCAAATCCACCCTCTATGCTTGTGCACTTGAACTGTGCTATTTGCCGGAAATCCATAAAGTGATGTCAGATGAATAGAATTTGGAGATTAGAGGGTGAACAGCATTTAGTAATAATTTGGGGGTTGATGATACTTCATGCTTAGCTAATGGATTCTCTCAAGTATGGTAGAAAATATTGTTTGGGTTATAAAGAGATGAGCTATTGGACACAGCTTTTCTTCATTTCGTGACTATTTCTTTGCCAGAAATAGTAAACTTAGTAAAACATAGGACAAATACATTGTAGCTTGGGACAGCTATGAGTTTTGACCATACCAAACCCCATACATTTATAAAGTGCTCTACTGTTTACAAAGTAGTCCAGATACAATATCCTATGAATTTCTTGCAGTGAGAATAAGAAGGGAAAAAGCAGTTGCTGTCTATAATATTTTGAAGATAAAGAGATGGACTCAGACAAGTAATAGACTTCACTTAAAACCCACAGAGTAAGAGGTAGAGTGAACAACCATCCTGCTTTTCCTGGGGTACATGGAGATTCCTAGGATAAGATTTTTAGTTTTGAACCTGCGAACAAGGAGTTTTCTGGGATGTGAGACTGTCATTATTAAAAGCGGGGAAGTCCTAGGGGAACAAGGCCAAGATTCTTCCCCTTGCTGGAGGGAAGCTGAATCAAAGAATTCAGGCCTCCTCAACCCTCTTGCTCTCTGCAATACTTCAAAGGCTCATTGATCAGGTTCAGTGATCCAGTTTACTCAGCAAAACTTTGATCTTTTATAGTGAGAAACTGAGGCTTATAATGTTCAAGTATCTTGCCATAGTTTTATAGGTTTTCTTGTTTTAGATCATGCACAAGAAACCAGTATTCATCTTCAATCATTCCAAATGCGTTCTCCCCTCACATGAAACCTTAGGAGACACGCCAGTTGGAACATCACCTACAGTAAAACTCTGCAATTACATGAGAAGTGATTTGTGGTGTGCAGGTTTCTTTTGTTAACAAACTACATTAGCTATAAATTACTAGGTTCCTTTGAAGTATTTGTGCTGCTGCAAATCCATCACATATCACAAGTTCACACTGTGAACCACACATTAATTCCAGCAGCAGCCCTGATATCTAGATACTTGTTTGTTTTTACTGTTATATATGATTTTGGTGTCAAAAATCTATGCATCCAAAACCCTACTTTGAATTAGAATGCTGTGTTAGCACAAGGCAGCATAATCAGGGACTTTGAAAACAACTGAGGTCTGGCTTTGCATGTAAGCGTTGGGCTCAGAAAATTAATTATATATTACAAGACATTGGACCCTACTGTTGGTGCTGGAAGTCACCCTCTGATGAGAAATAAAAGGAAAAAGATAACTTTGTAAGCCTCATCAATTTACAGTCTAAACTTCATAACAATAATGAGCATTTACTCTAAGAATAACCTTATTATGGGGCAAAAGACATGTATTGACCAGGAGATAGTATCTGCAAGTCATATATCTCAGAAAGGATTGGATATAATCTAGGAAAAACTCTCAAAACTCAACATGAAAGTAAAAAGCAATCCAATGGCAAAACAGGCAAAGGTTTTGAGTGTACATTTCAAGGAAGCAGGCATATAGCTATTACAGATAGCCCTAAAGCTTATAAAGAGATTCAACATCATTAGTCATTGAGACCAAATTAAAACTCAAATAGTTTATCATACTTTCTCTAAAAATGGCTAAGAAGAAGGCTAATGGCAACATGACAGCACCAAATGCTGTCATGGAGGCAGAGAAGCTCAATTTCTCATACTCTGATAGAGGGGATATAAAATGGTATCGTTACTTGGGAAAATAGTTTCTAAGCAAGCTAAATATCCCACTATCTTATGGATCAGAATTTCTATTTCTTGGCATTCACACCAGAGACATAAACCTTACTTTCACACCAGAATATGTACACCATATATAAGTTGGTTTCATTTGTACTTGTAGGAGTTAGAAACGCTGGCACCGCGGCTCACTAGGCTAATCCTCCGCCTGTGGCGTCAGCACCCCAGGTCCTAGTTCTGGTTGGGGTGCCAGATTCTGTCCCAGTTGCTCCTCTTCCAGTCAAGCTCTCTGCTGTGGCCTGGGAAGGCAGTGGAGGATGGCCCAAGTCCTTGGGCCCTGCACCCACATGGGAGAGCAGGAGAAGCACCTGGCTCCTGGCTTTAGATCAGCGCAGCGCGCCAGCAGTAGTGGCCATTTGGGGGGTGAACCAACAGAAGGAAGACCTTTCTCTCTGTCTCTCTCTCACTGTCTAAATCTGCCTGTCAAAAAAAAAAGAGCTAGAAACAACAGGTTAATTATTAAACAAGCTGTGGTACAACTCCACCATGGAATATTACCCAGCAATAAAAAAGAAGAAACCACTGACACATCAATTTAGATGAATCTCGAGAGAAGTATGCTGCATGAAATGTATCAGACCAAGCACTATATAATACATAATTTCAATTGTATGACATACTGAAATGACAGAATTACAGAAATAGAAAACAGACTTACAGGGGCTAATTAGGAGTAAGAGGAAGGAAGGGAGTAGGTATGGTTATAAATGAGGAGACTATGAGCGATCCTGACCATATCAATGTCTACACTGGAGATGCTCTACTCTATTGCATTGTTCCAAGTTGTTACATTGGAGGAAACTGGTCAGAGGATATGTAAGATATCTCTTTATTAGTTCTTACAACTATATGTGAACCTATGATTTCTTTGGAAATGACAATTGTAATTGCAAAAAAAAAAAAAAATTCAGTCATAATCTTGTAAGATGCTCTGTTCTTCCATAGCATAACTAGGGTGATTGATGCTGCATGTGATTTGAGTCACCTGGAATATTCCAGGTGGCCATTTCACCTTGGCTCAGAGATTGGGCTTATTTCCAGATGACAAAGACAGAAGAGGCTCAGAGCTGACAGGTGATCAGCTGTGATATTTAATGTCATGTTTCAGATTGGCTAGATTCTGGGGCCCACTTTTTGGTCAAATACCAGGTTAGATGCTGCCGTGTTTTTTAGGAATGATTAATGTTTGTATCACTAGGGGGCTGCTTAGTGGCACAGCAGGTTAAGCTGCTGCTGGTAACACTGGCATACTCTATTTCAGTACCAATTCCAGTCCCATGATGCTGTGCTTCCAATGCAGCTACCTGTTAATGCACCTGGGAAGGCATGTGAGAGACCAAGATGAGTTCCTGGCTCCTGGCTTCAGCAGGGCCAGGCCTGGGAGTTGCAGCCTTTTTGGGAGAGAACCAGCATGTGGACAATCTCTTTCTCTCTCTTTCTTTCTTTTTATCTTTCTCTATTTCTCTCTCCCTCTTTTTGCTCTGCCTTTCAGTTAAAATATGAATAAATCTTTTCAAATAGTGTTATCAGTAGACTTTGAATAAAAACAGATTAACCTCCGATCAGCTGAAGGCATTAAAAGACCCAAATCTCCTGAAGAAGGAATTTTGCCTCCCTGCCGTCTTCAGACTCAGGACTGAAATATCTGCTCTTCACCGTCTCCATCCTGTGGGCCTACCCTGCAGATTTTGGACTTTCAGGCTCCACAATTGCATGAATCAAGTCCTTAAAATAAATCTCTGCCCCTTTCCATTCCCTCTCTTTTGATATATGAGGGGACTTCAGAAATTTCATAGAAAATGCATATCATGAAAATCTGTGCATGGATTTCAAAATTTTTGTATCACAATAAAGTTATCTCTAAATGCCATTTCCCATGAATTTTTGATGTGCCCTCTCCTATACACCCTATTGGTGGTGTTTCTCAGCAGAACGCAGACTTATACAGGAGCCCAAGGTGAATTTTGCAACATTAAATACGTTGAATCTTTCCAAATACCCAGATGGCCAGGTCCTTTGCTGTTTCCTATGAGGTGAACCCCTCCCTTAGTGCAAGTTCTCACTTGAAAATACCTTCATTTGGATCAAGGAATTTTCCTCTCTGGATTTCATCAAGTATAGTAAAACTGTCAGAATGGAGATATAAGACTAGTTATTCTCCATTCTTACTGATCTATCTGCCAGATTTTTCCAAACAGCCTCTGGGTTCAGTGAATTCTTTTAGAGGGAGAGTAAGTGATAATCAAAGTTGCAGAAATAATTACTTTGACAGAATGCAAGTCAGAGAGGTAGAATGGGGGAAGAACTCCTGCAAACAGAAAACTCCGTGTGCCTGGATTCCTATTAGACATATGCACATGCGTACTCTCATGAGATTGTGTCCTTACACATGTGCATGCGTGCACACACACACACACACACAGTTGTGGAGATCCCAAAGGAGAAGCTGTGCAGCTAGCTCTGACCCTGAAAAAGAACTGCCGTTAAAGTGAAGGACATTTCCTGAAAGAAAGAAAAGCACATAGGACTATATAGAAACTGAAAACCAAGAGCTCCAATAAGTATATATCATTTAAATGCTGAGGATCTCTCCTCTCTAGTAGATGGCAGTAAAGGTTATGTTTTTATCTATATAAACAAAATGTTGCTAAGAAACATCTTGTTTCCAGAACATCTTGCTAGTTGGTTTTGAAAGAATAAAAGTCAGGCAGCTCTGGAAGAGTAGGCAAAGAACAAAACAATAGGAATATTATCCACGTGAATTTTATAAATACACATTGCAGAACTTACATGTCTGTATGAGTCTTGTCCTTCAGCCTGACTGGTTTGCTTGTGGGTGTGAAGGGTAGAGAAATAAACTATTGTTATACAAAATATATTTTAGTTCCCCTTTGGGAAGCATAGCTACAGACAGTTTGCAAACCACACAAGTATGGTGGTCACATTGTTTGTTCCATTATGTACTACAAATAGCACAGGCTTGTGGAATTATGAAACTCCTTGGGTGTCTGTTTCTTCATCTGTAAAATGGGACTGGTACCCAACCTTGAGATACTGTTGTGATAGTTGTGGAGAATCATGGCAGTTGCCATCTTAGGGTGCTTACATCAGGGACGATTTGCAGCACCTTATTCATGTGTTGTTTAACCTCACAATAGCCCTGTGAAGTAGGTGTTCATAATTTTCATTTAACAACCTAGAAAACTGAGGGTTTTGAGAGGGCAAGTAAATTACCCAAGGTCACAAATTAGAAATGTTCAAGACCAAGAGTTGATTCCAGATATTTCTGACTCCTAAATCTATGTTCCTACCACTAAATCATAATGCTGCTTGATGATTAGAGAGACCAAAAGAAGAATCTGTTATACTGGATACATACAGTAGTTTAAATTTAAAGTGTATACATGCTATACTTAAGTTTCTGTTATCTGTTAGAACTTGTGTATGGTTGAATTGGTATGAATGTTTCTTTTCAAATGCAAAATATGACAGCTTTAGGTAAACTTCTAGGTGATTGCTTTAAGGAAATAAAATATATATTCAGAAAATTAAAGCAATGAAAACAAGATCCAAGTAAGAATAAGCAGGGAATTCAACTCAGCTTTCCATCTACTCATCTTTGTGAGCCAAGAGTGAAAGGCCCTCTTTCTTTTTGGCTCCTCACATATGAGTCTACCATATGTATTAGATCTCTACTCTCAGTGGGTCATTCTACCCATTGGAGCATGTAATTGGTTTCCTTCATGCGTCAGACTGGTCCCTGGTGTTATGCATTTGTTATATCTTTCTGAGGAAGATTCCAAAGTCATATCTTTCAGAAACTGAAAGGCACCGTTTCACCTGTGAGAGAAGATGGTGATGGAAGGTGTATACCTTTTAGAACCTGGATTGATTTCATTTTTATTCAAAGGCATTACAAGAATATATTCTGGGATATTTGAGGTGTTTTGCATAGGAAAAGGAATGACTTCCTTTGGTGACTGATGCCCTCATCTCTTTGAGAAGATAGAAGGGTAAAGCAAGATTCTATTCCTGTTACATGAAGGTTTGATAGTCAACACACAGCTGGAGGAAGGCTACACAAGTTAGTTATGGGCAGTACTCCCCTGGTTGATCAGTTCCTGAGCCTTACCAGTAGTTCATTTTTTGATTATGAGTGAATACTGATGATGCTTCTTTAGCCACGTGCACAATTAAGCTGAGATGTAAGCTAATTAGTGTCTACAAAGAGGTTGTAGAGCTTTAGAATATAAGAATTTCTAAAGGGCAACAATTTTGTATGACTTACTCTGCTAAAGGATAGGGATCTTCAGAAATCTCATGGAAAATGTGTACTCTGAAAAAACTATGCTTGAATTTCAATTTTTGCACCAAAAATGTGTTTTTACTTGAATTTTTAAAAGTCTCATACCACCTCTGATTAACTCAGGAAAACAGCTGCTGACATTCCCTTGTTCTTAGAGTTTAGAGAAAAAGCTGTTGCTGCTTGTGGTCAAATGAAGAAAAGATACTGGTTTATGTAACAGTTGAGAATGAGAAACTATTCTTATACAAAGCCTGGCTGGGGATAAAACAGTGCAGAAACTGGCGTGGGATGGAATATACTAATATATGATTATATATGAAGGGTATAGTTTTAAAGATGGACTGAATTATGAAACATGCATAATGCTGAATGGAAAGAAATGGAGGAGGAAATAAAATAGTATAAGAAGTAGAAGGAAAACCAAGAGTGAGGACCCCACATGTGTACTGTATTTATGTGATTTCACTTACATGAAATGTCCCAAACAGGTGAATATATAGAGATGGAGAGTAATTTAGGGATTATGGCTGAGGAAGGAGGCAGTGGTTGGGGTAATAAGAATAGACTGCTAATAGTTGATCTAATATCCTCCCAATGGTCTCATATCCTAGTATCATCACATTAGAGATTAAGTTTAAGAAATGAATTTTGGGGGGCTATATTCTGACCACAGCAAGGATATCTATTGTGTTTAATGTGTGTCAGCATTTATGCATGTAGCCATTGTGAGATGTGCAAAAGTGTTCTATCCCATTACACCTGAGTATCTGCACTCCTGATAGCCTCATACACACAGCCTTGTACACAGTAGGCATTTGATAAAGTTAAGCAAACCACTTGGGCAGATCAAATTGCTGTATTTCAAAATTTGGTATTATATCTACATTCAGGTAGTAACTACTTCTCTTCAGATTATGTGTATTTGGGCAAATTATTTAATGATGCTTGATGTTGATTTCTTAATCTTTAAAAGAAGGTATGACACCTGCCCTGGGTTTCATTTATTCATGAGTCTGTCCTAGAAGGATTGTTTATCTACTTATTTTTATTATTTTTGTTTGAGAGAAAGAAACAGAGACAGAGATCTCTCATCTGCTGATTCCCTCCTCAAATGTTTACAACAACTGAAATCCAGGTTTCCTAACGTGGGTGGCAGGAACATAATTTCTTGAGCCATCATGGTGGCCCAGCAGGAAGCTGGACTCAGAAGCTGGAGCTGGGGATTAAACCCAGGTACCCTGCTCTGGGAAGTGGGCATCCTAACTGCTGTCCTAACTTCTAGGACAAAATGCCTGCTCCCATGGAAGGACTATTCTTCAGAAGTGTGGGTTTCTGTCATTCTCCCTAGCTGTTATTCATCTTATAACATAGCCCTTCTGTGTTAGGACATAGTATTCAATCTTTTTCTTCGTATTTTCTTCTAAAGGCAGAAGTAATCACTCAATCACCTGGTATTTAAAATAAAGGCAGTATAATATTTTTAACTGAAAGGAATTACTGTAGATGTAACTATGCACGTCAAGTGAACAAGTCTCAGCTGAGCCTTGGTTAGATCGTCTGGTTCCCACAAAGTCATGCACTCTCTGATAATTGGTGCCCTGATGTCACTGGCCCAGGATCAGGCCTCTAGAATGTAGCCAAATAAACGAAATCAGAAGCTGGTGTGCTGCTGGTGAGTTGATACTTGGATATGAAGCTGTAGACCCTAATCTTGACTTTTCTACTTGTTTGTTTATACTGTTTAATAGCATGTGTAGAACTGGAACACACTCCTGAACGTGGACCAGAAGCTTCATTGGTAAGTCCAAGGCCATAATGGCATAGCTCTTTCAATCAAGGGAGAGCAGGTTAGGGGTGGTGAATCTAGTGGTATATGCAGGAATTTGGAAGCAAGGCAAGGAAGCTGGTAATGGCAGCCTTGTGGATCTGGTTAGTTTTCTAAGCACATAGACTTGGTCTCTAACTGGGAGTCAAGATGGTGTGTCACTACTGAAGACCACAGCATGGGTAAGTGTAATAATTTAGCATTCGCTGCTCCTTTATGATTTTGCTTTTCAACATTATATGCATTGAACCTAGGGTTATTTCTGGGTTATAAAATTCTGCTTTTGAGATATTAGGGTAAATACATCTTCTTGGGCATTTGAAATGCATTTTTTATGTTTGCCTGTAGATGTACGTGTATACTGGAAAATTGAAAGAGTCCTCATGGAATAAAATCTGTGAAAACAATTTGTAAAAGGCAAAGCACTATAAACTTGTATCGCATTATTATTTTTTAATCGAATTGAATCTTCCATATATCCACTTTGCTTTTTCTACCTACCTTTCTCATCCTCTTGCTTAGTTAATTGTCATTATCTTCCTTAATATATTAAATAATAATAGTTAGAGGTTTGATATCTCCCTGGGGTGTCTGGATATATGTTCTCATATTTATTTGATTATAATTATTAGTCTTCTAAAATATGCTCATTATTAAAATTAGAAAATACATAGAATAATGAAGAAAAAATTATCTGTAATCTCTATATCAAGATAATAATTTTTATGTCATTGCTTTCAGTTCTTTTACTGTAGACACTAGGATATAAAACAAACGAGTATATTTTACACATCACGATCATCTTGCATATTAGTTTTGAATATTGCTTTTTCATTTAAGATTATGTGGAGAGGATTTTATCTTGTGACTAAATGTTCTTCAAAAATACTTTAATGACATTTAAAGAGCTCATCATATGAATATAATTTTAAACCTAATTCTTATATCCATGGGTTTTTATTTCCAGCTTTTATCATTTTTAAAGTTTATGAACATATTTTATCATAAGGTTTCTGTTTTCTTAAATATCTCCTTGCCTTTTGGGGACTATCCCTTAGGATAGCATTATAAGTTGCTGAGTTGTCATTCTATGTCTTTATTTAGTGGGCTTTTCTTAATACATGCATGTTTAGTGCAATATTCTTGAAGGTAAATGACTTAATATGGAATGTAGAATTTTAGGCATTTTGTAAAGAACAGAGGTGGTGAGAGTGTGTAGTAAGGAAGATCTCCCATATGAACTGAAACACAACCTACCCTTAGAGAAGGCACATTATACATTCTTAGCATAATCCAGGTCTATCTGACTTAATAGAAAATTTTATGTGTTCTTCAATGACTGTGTCTCCTTGGTATGACTTCAAGCTTTCTCAACCTACTAGTTCACTTTGGATAAATTATTATAAGTTCTGGGCGTGTACCTTTGTAAGACTTTGAATCCATCCACTATTGGAAGCATATGAATTTGCATTATTTACTTTTGTAACTTGTGCTATATGGTTCAACTTATGAATCATAAAGGTGATAGAATATATTGCTTGTTTATTATAATTGCCTCTGGCTGTGTTTGGCAGCTGCATATCAATAGAGTACATACTACTTTGAAGCTATCACCTGCAATATTAAATCTTATTTTGATATTATGGTGCTGATTTTCACTTGTCACCATAATTAAAGAGCTTAACCCTCCTTGCATGTTCTCTGGAAGCACCCAACCTTCCTACACATTCATTGTTTGCTACAGTGTAATGCTAAGTACATAAAGATTGGGAAAATGAGAATACTGGCATTCTATTTATTTATTAATTTATATTGACAGGCAGAGTGGACAGTGAGAGAGAGAGACAGAGAGAAAGGTCTTCCTTTTGCCGTTGGTTCACCCTCCAATGGCCGCCACGGCTGCCGCGCTGCAGCTGGTGCATTGCGCTGATCCGAAGGCAGGAGCCAGGTACTCCTTCTGGTCTCCCATGGGGTGCAGGGCCCAAGCACTTGGGCCATCCTCCACTCCCCTCCCTGGCCACAGCAGAGAGCTGGCCTGGAAGAGGGACAACTGGGACAGAATCCGGCACTCTGACTGGGACTAGAACCCGGTGTGCTGGCACCGCTAGGCAGAGGATTAGCCTATTGAGCTGCGGCACCGGCCAATACTGGCATTCTCTACTTGATATTTGCTTTCCAATGAATCAAGCCAGGTAACTCTTAAAAATCTGGATAAAAATTTTCTTTCTCTGAGTCTGGTTATGCTACTCAATTCATCAGGCTAATCATGTCTTACCTCTCCATGCATAGGAAAAACATGATTAAAATGATTGATTGACAGCATAGCCCATACATGACAGTAGTGATCATCTGTTCATGAGATGTATTCAAGCTAAATAAAAAGGTTTATGTTTTTTCTTGCCAAACACGACTCTGAATTGTGTTTCACATTTGGGTTAGTTCATTATATGTAACTCTGATTCTATCCTATTTTAGCCACTTACAATGTCTTTCCCCTAAAGGGCCATTGAAGTACTGCATAAAAATGTCAGTTATATGATATTGGGACATCAGAGGGCCCAAATGGACCAACAGCTCATTGTACTTTTTATGGGTACAAACAGATTCTTTTATGTTTTCCTAGTCATTGGAGTCCTGTTTGTTTGTCTCTACAAATGTGATTGTATGATCCAGGGCATATATTCTTGCTCTGGTTTTGATAACTCAGCACCTGCTGGTTTTTGTCCTTTCTCATTGCTGAGGCAGAGGGAGAGAGAAAGACAGAGAGTGTGAGAGAGAAATAGCTTCCGTCTTCTCATTTATTACCCAAATGCCCACCACAGCGCCTGGCTGGGTCCCAAGCAATCAGCCAGAAATTCAGTCCAGGTCTCCAGAGTGGATGGTAGAAATCCAATTACTTGAACCATCAGTGCTGCCTCCCAGGGTCTGCATTGGTAGGAAATTAGAATCAAGAGTAAGAGTCAAGAATCAAATTCATGCACTCTGATATGGAATGTGGTTATCTTAACTGTTGAGCCAAATGTCCATCCCTAAATTTTCATTAATAGCAGGATCAAACCAGCCACATTGTTTGAGTACGAGATAAAAGACTGTAGTGGCTTTCATCTCCAAAATTGGACTTGGCTAGAGCTTAGTCTCCAGGTTTTCACTCCCTTAGTTGAAGGAAACATCTGGAAGAAATTTAATAAATACACAAAGATTATCTATGCAAAAAAGAGGCTATTGTTTGTGAAAACTTGTTCCTGGGGTGGTTGCTGCAGGTGTTTTGGGTCAGAGTTCTAGCCTCGATATATGGCTTATCCCTTGTTAATTTGTATGTTCAGTCTCTCAAAGTTTACATGTTCTACAATCTTGTCAGGCAGTTTTGGGGGACTCATATCTTTTTTTTTAACTTTTATTTAATGAATATAAATTTCCAAAGTACGATTTATGGATTACAATGGCTTCCCCCACATACCGTCCCTCCCACCCACTACCCTCCCCTTTCCCACTCCCTCTCCCTTTCCATTCACATCAAGATTCATTTTCGATTATCTTAATATACAGAAGATCAGCTTAGTATACATTAAGTAAAGATTTCAACAGTTTGCTCCCACACAGAAACATAAAGTGAAAAATAATAGATGATTTTTTTAAAATGATGATGAAATCAGATCAGACCTATTGTCATGTTTAATCCCAGTGAGAGTCAAGTTGGGAGTTGATAATTTCTTTTCTTTCCTTCTTTTTTTTTATCTGTATTTTTTTAACAGAGGATCAGTTTAGTATACATTAAGTAAAGATTTCAACAGTTTGCACCCCCATAGAAACACAAAGTGAAATATATTGTTTGAGTACTCGTTATAGCATTAAATCTCAATACACAGCACATTAAGGACAGAGATCCTACATGAGGAGTAAGTGCACAGTGACTCCTGTTGTTGACTTTACCAATTGACACTCCTGTCTATGGCATCAGTAGTCTCCCTATGCTCCAGTCATGAGTTTCCAAGGCTATGGAAGCCCTCTGAGTTCTCCGACTCTTATCTTGTTTAGACAAGGTCATAGTCAAAGTGGAGGTTCTCTCCTCCCTTCAGAGAAAGGTACCTCCTTCTTTGAAGACCTGTTCTTTCCACTGGGATCTCACTCGCAGAGATCTTTTGCCAGAGTGTCTTGGCTTTCCATGCCTGAAATACTCTCATGGGCTTTTCAGCCAGATCCGAATGCCTTTAGGGCTGATTCTGAGGCCAGAGTGCTATTTAGGACACCTGCCATTCTATGAGTCTGCTGAGTATCTCACTTCCCATGTTGGATCACTCTCCCCTTTATTTATTCTATCGGTTAGTGTTAGCAGGTACTAGACTTGTTTATGTGCTCTCTTTGACTCTTAGTCCTTTCATTATGATCAATTGTGAACTGAAATTGATCACTTGGAATAGTGAGATGGCATTGGTACATGCCACCTTGATGGGATTGAATTGGAATCCCCTGGTATGTTTTAATAAGAGTTAATTTCAGTTAAACTGTTTCAATGCTAAGGATAACATCTCTAAAGCTTTCACAATTTAGTGGAGGAAATAAACAAACAGTATATGGAAAGCTAAATGAACAAAATGTTCTCAGAATCCCAGTGTAGATTATCACATCCAATTTTGAGAGGATAAATTTAAAAAAGGCTTTGTAGTATAAGTAGAATTTTATATATTTTATATATCTAGAATTTTTAAACCTAGATGAACAACTGTTCAAAGTAGAGTGGAGGTAGAGAGTTGGGAAGATGGCTCCAGGGTTGAGAACAGCTGAGCAGGGTGGAAAGAGCTGAAAGAGAAATATAATGACTTCACCAGCTTGTATTGATTTGAGCAACTCATTTTGAATCCTGTTATTGATCCTTAACTCCTATGCTGCAAGTTTTTGTTCCACATGCTGTTCACTCTTCACATTGTTCAGCTCTGATCCAAGCCATTACCTGCCATTTTTTTCTATGAAATACA